GTGGTGCTACTTATGGATAAACTGATGTAATAGAAAAGATTGGAAACTATTTGCCCGTTCTACATATTCATTAGCAATGCCTTTAGCTAGAACAACAATGATAACTGAAAGTCATTGGCGAGTACTAAAATATAATTATAAGTATAATTATAATCGCCCACACCTTGATTGACTTACACAAATTATTGTTGAGCAGCTAGTAAAAGATTTCGCTATTCAGTTAACTCAATATAACTCAAACCGCAGCTTTCCATCATGGTGGCAAGCATTCAAGAAAGATTGGAATAAATTAGCGGATACTAATATCGAATTCGGCATGAACGAAAGATATCATATTGATGAAGCTAATTGGATATGTTCCTGTCCAGCATATTTGCATAGTCGTTATCTTATTTGTAAACATTTAATCGCAAAAAAAAATGGGAAACTCTTTTTACCTACTTTTCTAGAAACAACACGTCGTCATGACTACCCTCTAATTTTCTTTGGTACCGACAAGACACAAACAATCTGTCAAGAAAATGATCCGTGGGAAAAATTTGGATCTGTAAACGTTGACCATTCTATTGAAGAACTAAACTCGAGTACTAATAATTCACAAAGTATTGAATTAATAGAAAGAAATAACACAAATGATGAATTAGAGATAATGTTAATTTCATAAAAAACTTTGACAATCTTTTAAAACCCATTGTAAAAGCTATCGAAGGGTGTGAAAAAAAACTAAATGCTCATACACAGCAAAGAACGTGGAAATCAAAAAATGATCTTGCTTTCTGGTTACATTAATTTAATAGTATTTTTGCTTAAAATAGCTATTAAGTATCGTTTATAGCCTTTGTCTTGTGATGTTGTAAAGTCGTGGCCTATTTGGCCAGTAATAAAAGTAAAAAAAAATTAATAATTTTGCAAATTACATATATAACGTTTGGTGATTTCGTCGAAGTTAATAACAAACTAATCCAAATTACAAATGATCTCATGATTACCGTAAATTAAATTCATGGCAGAAGTTAGAAGTATAAAGAAAAAGTCAAAAAGATAAATAAAAAAATTATAAGAAACACTTAACTATAATTTCTATGAACTTCGCAGCAAGACTTCAACGCTTAAACCAGAGATAGTTATGCATTTTTAACGCAATGTGTTGTCAGAAAAAAAAAATCAAAAAATCCGCGTACTCATTAATTTCTTTGTTCTACTACCTATACGTTTTTGATAATAACAAAATTTAGATAACTCTAGATATAACAAACTTTCGTATAACGAATTCTGGATATACCCAAAAATTTAAAATTACATAGGAAAACCTAGTAATTTTCTATACCATTTTTTTTTTCTTCCAGAACCGTTAGATCGTTATACGTAAAAAGAGTTGACTGTACTGTAATAAAAGATTTGAATTTGAATTTTTCTGATTGGCTAGAAAATTTTGGTTGAATTCAATCAGATCGGAAATGATCGACATCACGTGTCTGCCACTTTTTTTTCTGGATGGCTAGGGTACTGTGCTTCCGTAGTAGATTAGTGATCTTCGGTCACGTGATGACGTGTTATTTCTGCCACCACTAATCTACTATTTGGCAAATAAAATGAAGTAAATAAAAATAAATTGGAAATAAATGCAAAAATTTTTTGTAAAATATTTAAACCATTTTCATATTCCTCACATAAAATAAACATACAAGTAAATACTACAACACTAACCGGAAAACTTACTGAAAAACATAATAAACATATAAATAAACCAAAAAAAGCTGAACTAGATAAATTTAAATGCAAGATTTCAATGATCCAAAAAATTGAAATTGTATAAGGAGGAAAACTTAATAAAATAAGAAAAATAAGATTATAAATATTATATTTCTCATTACCACTTATAATTCTTGGAATATTTATATCATTTATCGTCCAACAAAACTTTTAATGTCTTTAGCATTTTCACGATCACCAAAAAAATCAGTATTAAAATTCTTTGCTATAAATTTAGCAAAAATAGTAATTAAAGAAAAATACATGAACTAGCATGCTAATTAAAGAAAATACTTTTAAATTCAATGTATCATTATAAACCAAGGAAACGATTAATGGAATTCCCCAAGTAACGAAATTATAAAGAATATCGTCAATAAATGGAAGAATTTTTCTTTAATAGATATTTCATTAGGTTCATCTTCCTTTTGACTTTTATTTTTATCTTTGATAAGAAGAATCTCGATTATTATGATTGGAAAGAAAACCGTAAGAAATGAATCATATAAATCTTCGCGATTTCTTTGAATATAATTTTTATCAATTAAATATGACATTGTAAATAAAATTTTGACAGAATTTTGTTCGACACGTATCTTCATATTATAATTATATTTAATTTTATAAATATTTTATTAAAGTTTTAGACTTAAACATATTTGGTATTAATAAAATTCGTGTTACTTCTAAAATGCACTTATTATACTTATACATCTACATCAGGGTCCTGCACATACATTATTAAAACATAGTATCCATGCCCATACTTGGCACTATGTTTTAACAGTGTGCGTGCAGAATCTTAATATATAGTAGATTCATTGTCTTAAAATTTTATCTTAATTAATAATATTGATATAGTGTTAAATCAAACGATTATTATAAAAACATATACAATATTTCTTAAGCGATCGTGTATGTGCAGTACAGGAAATTTAAGACCTTGATTTCACTATATAATGTGTTTAACACATAAAATAAATTGTTTAAATTATCAGTCTCAACAAAATGAAGGACCTAAAATTCTCAAACTCAGAAATAATACACAAAGAATAATATGTACTTAAAAGAACCATTTTGTGCATACTGCTGAAACATAAAATAACCCGCTAATAAAATTTTGCTTAATATGTTAGTTGAACTTTTTTATTCTATATAAAGTGATTAAGGCGTCTAAATATGATCTGAGTGGTACTTCATGTAATGATAAATATAAATGTTATTCAAGACGTTTGGCAATTATACTCTTCTTTTAGAGAGTAAATTCAGTAAATCCTACTAAGATAAGACAAAAATCTTTATGTTTTTAAATATTCGTACACTCTATTATATTTATGTCGTACCTACGCACGTACGTACGTACGTACGTATAATGAACGTTCTTTATATCTAAGGTAATGATCTCTTTTCATTTACTACTTTTGAGAAGGCTATTAACAAATACTAACTACGTAAAAACTTCTCATCTATTTTTAGTAGATTCCCTGGGACCCGAGCTATCTGTAGATAGATCACTATTTAATTTTGCTTATTTTTGATCATTTTTTTTGTAGTTCTTTTTTATATTTAGTAATATATATGCTTATTTTTCTGTAGATCATTGCTTTTATTAATAATATATTAAGATTTTTTTAAAAATCTTAGCTATTTATAGATTGCTCGGGGTCCTGATCCAGGACCCTGCTAATTCTAAAAAAGGTAATATTATTAAAACCGGACAAACTGGTCAAAATTAAAATCTAATTTTATTTGGGCCAAAAAAGTGGACAAAATGTCTGAAAATTTGCTATTAACTCAACTCGTACCTCTCCTAATCCCCTTTGTGTCGATCTACCCTTTCACAATGTACTGTACGTACAGTACGTACGTACGTACTTAGGTTAATAAAGACAACTAACTCATTAAACTAAAATTATCAATAGTTTGCTTATTATTTCTACGCAAAGAGCCTGATGAATCAACATTTCCTGCATTTCATTAAGATTTATAATTGTTTCAATGGGCTACTAGTTTATTCATGATCTTTATATAAGGATATAGAGGTTTTTAGACTTCTCACACTAGATGTAAATATCCATAATAAATTTGATAAGTCATATACAACATATTCAAAACATCCATTGTAAAACAATCTAAAAAAATCAATAACCCATTAGACGTTGCTAAAATATCCAACCAGGTTAATCAACTGTATTTAGAAGATATGTCTCAGGATTGTATTAACGAAATTATTAAAGAAATGTATAATTTGTATAATGAAGAAAATTTGAAAAGCATAAATTATAAACCAATTATTGATGCCTTAGAAAAATTTATAGTCGAAAAAAAGCAAAATCCGGATAATATTATCAAATATTGCTTAGATAATCAATTTGATTCTATGGTTCAAATTATTCTTGCAATTTGTGGTAAATGGGTTGAAAAGGATAAACATAAGGCATTCATTTATTATCAAACATCTGCAGAGATGGGGACGCTGCCGGAATAAATGGTGTTGGATATTGTTACCGAAATGGATTTGGAGTTGAAAAGGATGAACATAAGGCATTCATTTGTCATCAAAAATCTGCAGAGATGGGGAATGCAAACGGAATAAATTATGTTGGAGATTGTTACCGTATTTGCGCGTAATAGGGGCCAGGGCGTTATTTCGAGTAATGGCCGAATTAAACTTAATTTAGGCCGAAATTCGAAATTACACCCCTGCGCGTTATTACGCGCAAATATGGTAAAAAAGAGAACAATATGTATATGGTATGCTAAAAAGGGTTACTTATAGTATTTGTAAGATTTCAAATTAATAAAGGTATTTATAATAATTATTAACAGATTTAAATTTATTTTATAAATAATAATATAGGTCAAACATTCTCAATAGACAATATATTATAATTATGATATTTATAAAAAATCTCAAAAAATTTAATTGCCATCAACAATATCAATTATCCTAAAATTTTCTAACTCTGAAACGATTTCTCTCGTATTGATAAATTTAGAAGTATACATCATATTATCATGTTTTTGCGAGGTAATTGTTAATTCTTTGATTGATTTATCAGCTT